GCTGGGATTGAGAGCAGGCATGAGCCACCGCGCCCGGCCAATTAATTTTTGTATTTTCAGTAGAGATAGGATTTCACCATGCTTATTAGGCTGGTCTCAAACTCCTGACCTCAGGCGATCCACCTGCCTTGGCCACTGTGCCTGGTCAACATTCTTGCTATTTTTATTCCAGGCTGGAGACCTTTCTCTCAAGAACAAAATGAGAATGCTCCCTGGAGTCTGTACTGATCCCTCCTCCCTCTCACGGTACATTAGTTTTCTCCTTGCATTTAAAAAGACCTTTCTGGCTGGCACCCAGTGAATGAATTGTGGAGGAGGGGGAGAAGGAGAGAGGAAGCAGGTAGCTCAGTGGGGAGGCTACTGCAAAATCCTGGCAAGCAATGACAGTACCTTGGATGAGGGCTGGTGTCAGTTAGATCAGGGTGATAGGGAAAGGAGGAAATGGACACATTTGGAATGTATTTGGAGGTAGAGCCAGCAGGATTTGCTGACAAATTGGGTTTAAAGTCAAAGAGAGAAATCAAGGTTAACAAATGAATAAAAACAGATGTGGTCTCAGGCGAGTAGAGACATTATGCAAAGAGACTATTGCAACAGGGGGAAAGATGGCTGTAAAAACAATGAACAACACCAGAATCTGATAACCCAGAAGGATGTGTTGTCTAATGAAACTAATTTTTTCCCCTCCTCCTTTTTTTTTTTTTTTTTGAGATGGGGTTTTGCTCTTGTTGCCCAAGCTGGAGTGCAATGGTGCGATCTCGGCTCACTGCAACCTCCGCCTCCCAGGTTCAAGCGATTCTCCTGCCTCAGCCTCCCGGGTAGCTGGGATTACGGGCATGCACCACCACACCTGGCTAATTTTGTATTTTTAGTAGAGGCAGGGTTTCACCATGTTAGCCAGGCTGGTCTCGAACTCCTGACCTCAGGTGATCTGCCCACCTCGGCCTCCCAAAGTGCTGGGATTACAGACATGAACCACCGTGCCCAGCCTCTCCTCCTATATTTTGCTGTCATCAGCAAGTGAAAAGATGATGATACCTTTTACAGAGGTAAGGAAGGAGATGAGAGAAAGTATTCCCAGATGGGGTGGGAAGCTGGTAGAGCCCATTTTGCAGGAGGAGGGGGAATCGGGAATTCTTTTGGATTCATGAAGTTTGAGATGTCTGTTAGTTCTCCCAGGGGTAGAACAGAGTGAGCAGATAGGCTCAAGGTTGGATTTGGGACGTCCTAGAAACCTTTCAGAACAAGGCAAAGGAGGAACTGAGAACTGGCATTTACTTCATAGCAACAGCATATGAGCCTCCCCACCCCTCCTCCTTCGGCTTCGGGGCACCCCTGGGTGTCAGAGGATAGAATCAATGCTAGAGAAGACCGCAGTCAAGGATTTCCTAGACTCCAGGGAGCATTCTGCTATGCTCTTGAGGGAAAGGGCTCTGGACTAGAATAAAAATTGCAAGATTGAAGTCCAGGCTGCAGTGGCTCATGCCTGTAATCCCAGCACTGTGGGAGGCCGAGGCGGGTAAATCGCCCGAGGTCAGGAGTTCGAGACCAGCCTGGTCAACATGGTGAAACCCCAACTCTACTAAAAATACAAAAGGTAGCTGGGAGTGGTGGCGGGTGCTTGTAATCCCAGCTACTCAGGAGGCTGAGGCAAGAGAATCACATGAACCCGGGAGGTAGAGGTTGCAGTGAGCCAAGATCATGCCACTGCATTCTAGCCTGGGCAACATAGCGAGTCCCTGTCTCAAAAAAAAAAAAAAAAATTGTGAAAATTCTAAGAGTCTAATATTTTAAAACTCCAGCATATGCATGTCAAAGCTCATCTAATTATACACTTAAGAGGTATGCATTTCGTTGTATATAGGATACCTTGAGGAACAAAAAGTATCTGCAAACAAATACTGAGCTCTAGCTACTGATATCCATGCTGATGTATTTGGTAGTGAAGTGTACTGGTGTCTGCAACTGACTTTGAAATGCTTAAAACAAATCAATGAATAGATAGGTAAAATTAATCGATATGTAATGAAAAATGGGCCGGGCACAGTGACTCATGCGGGTAATCCCAGCACTTTGGGAGGCTGAGCAGAGAAGATCACCTGAGGTCAGGAGTTTGAGACCAGCCTGGTCAACATGGCAAAACCCCATCTCTACTAAAAATACAAAAAATAGCCAGGCGTGGTGGTGCACGCCTGTAATCCCAGTGCTACTTGAGAGGCTGAGGCAGGAGAATTGCTTGAACCCGGGAGGCAGAGGTTGCAGAGATTGCATGCCATTGCACTCCACTCTGGGCAACAGAGTGAGACTCTATCTCAAACAAAAAACAAACAAACAAAAATAGAATAGGCAACAAAGAAAGGATAATAAAATGGTGGAATCTGATGGGTATACAGGTGCTCACTGTAGGTTTGAAATTTTAATATTTTTATAATAAAATATGAAATGAAAATGCAAAGCAAACAAAGTAACTGCCCGCTGAAAACCCCTCCAGACAGCTTCTATTTGCAATAGAAATAAAATGCAATCTTTTCCAAGACGTTGCAAGGAAGTCCCCTGCAGACTTCATGAATCTTGTCTCCTAAATTCAATCTTTGAAGATATAACAAATATTTATTAAGCGCCTACTGTGTGTCAGGCACTGCACTACATGCTGGGGATACAGCAGTGAACCAAACCTGTAATAATTCATGCACAAATGGCTCTAACATTCTTCCTTCTCAAGAAGCGCATTCCCCTGGCTGGCCTTCTCACTTCCTGAAATTGTCTTCATCTCGACTTCATCTGCATGTGGATATGAGCTCAGGAAGGTCAGAGCCCTTCTCTCCCTCGCTCATAGCTGCATCCTCGGGTCTAGAACAAAGTCTTGTTTACAGTAAGACCTCAATAACAATTAGTTGCAGAAATACTAGCTAACATCTTTTTAGTGCTTGTTACATGTGCACCTGCGTCTGCTTTAAATTGTGTGCACAGATGTACTATTTAATTCTGAAAACTAGCCCCATTTTACAAGGCTAATAGAGGCACAGAGGAGTTAGGCTGTGAATTCATGCAGTCTGGCTTCAGCCATCACCGTCCTAACCGCTCTGCAAACTGCCTTTAAGTGAATGAATGAATGACTCAATCATTCTGACTCGCCCAAGTCGAAATCTTAACTCTGCCACTCAGCCGAGTTGACCTGGGACCAACCGATTTATCTCCCTGGACTTCAGATTGTTTATCCTTAAAGGTCAAGTCCTTCCTCTCGGTTCGTGAAGATGTAAGATGCTGGAGAAAACTGGCTCAAAGACACCCCATACACGCACGCACACACGAACCCACTCCCGAACAATGAATGAGGGAGGTAGAGCTGGGGAGGGTGGCGCGGGGTCAACGCCAGATGCAGGGTGTGGCAACCTCTAGGCGGCCAAAGTCTCTGGCTTCCAGGTTCTTCTGTTTGCTTCCTCCCTACCCGGGGGCCCAAGGCGCTGTCTCCGCCGCCCGAGCCCCGCGTAAATCTGGGTGACCTCCGAGACATCGGTTGGAGCATGAGCTCCCGACATCAGGCGGCGGCGGTGGTCCGGGAGAAACCCGGCGGCGGGGAGATAAGCCTGCCCAGCAGGCAGGGGGCTGGGCTAGCTGCCCCGCCCCGCGCCTGACTTTGCTGGGGAGGGAGACGCCCGGCTCCCGCCCCTAACTAGCCCAGCCGCGCGGAGCGCCTGGGAGAGAAGGAGCCGACCTGCCGAGATGGAGGCGACCAGCACCTGGGCGCTGCTGCTGGCGCTGGCGCTGCTCCTGCTGCTGACGCTGGCGCTGTCTGGGACCCGGGCCCGAGGCCAGCTGCCCCCCGGGCCCACGCCGCTGCCACTGCTGGGAAACCTTCTGCAGCTACGGCCCGGAGCGCTGTACTCGGGGCTCATGCGGGTGAGGGGCCCAGGGGACGTCCTGGCTAAGCGCTGGGAGTCCCTGGGAGAGAAACGCGATTGCCAGGGCGAGGGGGTTTTCGGGTATCCTAGGGAGGAGGCAGGGGCAGGGGTCCCAAGGCAAAGGGGCTGCAGCTTTCCTGGGGTAGGGGCTGCAGCAGGTTGTCCAGGGCTGAGAACAGAAGAGGTGCCCGGGAGAGAGGATCGTGGGGTGGGGGACCAGGGCTAGGAGGGGCAGAGACCTCTGCCTACAGAATCCTGGGAAGGTGATGGGCAGGGACCGAGGCTGAGAGAGACAGGAGTCCTCCAGCCAAGGAGAAGCTGATGCGGCTGGGCTTGCCCCAGAGGGAGAGGTAGCTGGAGCCATACAGGTGGGGCATGCTGAAGAGGGCACAAAGAAGAAAAGGGGGAGGCGTCCCTGCGGGAGTTGGAGGCAAAGAAGAGGCTGGAGGATTGCAGGCTCAGAGAGGGGGTCCCGCTGAAGGAATCTGTCTGCTCAGAATGCGGGATGGGAGGATGGGTGGAGCTCAGCTGGGAGGTCCTGGGAGGGGGGAGGGAAGGAGAGCAAGAAAGAAGGCAGAGGCAGCCCCAGCCTTAGGGGATAGCGGGTGGGAGCGGGAAGAGGCCTGAAGTTTCCCTTTCAAAAGGATTCTGGGTGACTTCAAGGACATAGAAAAAGGGATGGGGTCGTGGGGGAAGAGATGGGGCAGATACTCAGCAGTGTCTGCTCTAGAATTTGAGGGTTTTGCGGTGACTGAAAAGGGTGGCTGGATATTTGGTGGGTAGGGGGGCCCTAAGGAATTAGGGGAGACCCAAACTGCTTCTGGATTGCCCAGTGTCAGAAGTTAAGGTTCAGCAGGAAGCAAGGGAATGACAGGAAGTTGGGGGATGCCACTGAAGGACGTACTGAGGGAGGAGGCCCGGGAGCCTAGTACAAAAAGAGAACTGAGCCTCAGCTATTTCTGCTGGGGTGGGGGCAGGTTCCTGGTAAAGGGTGTAGAAGCTAAACTCGGTGGCTCCTCCAGTGACAGGGGCCATGATGGAGACAACTTGGCTGGAAGAGGTCACAGCATCCTCTTCTTTCTTCCTCTCTGTGCCCAGCTGAGTAAGAAGTACGGACCGGTGTTCACCATCTACCTGGGACCCTGGCGGCCCGTGGTGGTCCTGGTTGGGCAGGAGGCTGTGCGAGAGGCCCTGGGAGGTCAGGCTGAAGAGTTCAGTGGCCGAGGAACCATAGCGATGCTGGAACGGACTTTTGATGGCCATGGTAAGTCAAGGGCTGCTAGGCCCTCCACTCACAGCCTGCCACCACTAACCGGTGTGTGACCTTTGCACATGGCTTAATGCCTGTTTCCTCATCTGTAAAATGGAGTGATAACAGTGCCCATCAGCTGGGAGGCAGTGGCTTATGCCTGAAATCCCAACACTTTGGGAGGCGGAGGTGGGTGGATCACTTGAGGTCAGGAGTTCGAGACCAGCCTGGCCAACATGGCGAAACCCTGTCTCTACTAAAAATATAAAAACGAACTGGGCATGGTGGCGTGTACCTGTAATCTCAGATACTCAGGAGGCTGAGGCAGGAGAATCGCTTGAACCCGGGAGACAGAGGTTGCAGTGAGCCAAGATCATGCCACTGCACTCCAGTCTGGGCAACAGAGCGAGCCTCCATCTCAAACAAACGAACAAGCAAAAAGCAGTGCCCATCATGTAGGACTGAGTGATTGAGTGAGGACTGAGCCTTGTGCAGAGTGAGCACTCACTAATCACCAGGTTGTGGTATCAGTGATAACCATCAGTGATCCAGGTAAAGCCCTGAGGGTTCAGAAAGATTTCAGAGCGCTTTCAAGGTGCTGAGGATTGGTGGGTAAGCCCTCCAATGATAGAGGCAGTTCTCTATGTTACAACAGAAAGCAGGAGGCCCATGCTGGGTGCTGCCAGGAACTCAGCAGTGACTAAGACAGCACTGGTGCTGCTTCCCCAGAGCACCAAGGCCAGTGGGGAAACAGACTCACGACATGGTGCCAGCCCAGAGTGATCAGGGCCAAGACGGGGAAGCACAGGGGGAAAGGTCAGGGTGGGATGGGGAGGGGTCAGGGCAAGAGGGATCAGGGCCAGGCTGAAGGAAGCCCTAGGACTGTAGGAATTTAGAGGAGGTACCTGACCCAGCTCGTTTGGCGAGGGAGATTCAGAAAGTCTTCCTGGAAGAGAGGCTGTCAAAGCTGAGACTCATAAGATGAGTGGGGAGGGTGTTCCAGGCAGAAAGACCAGCACCTACAAAAGCATGACTTTGAGAGAAGCATTCATTCATTCAACTGGTGAATTTTCAGGCTGGGCATGGTGGCTCATGCCTGTAACCCCAGCACTTTGGGAGGCTGAATTGGGAGGATGACTTGAGCCTAGGTGTTTGAGACAAGCCTGGGCGACATGGTGAGACCCTGCCTCCACAAAACACAAACAAACATAAAAATGATCATTATGCCCGGTCCTATACTGAGTACCAGGTACACGGAGATGACTCAGACAGGTGTGGTGTCCTCTCCTACTGTGGGAGAGGCGGGCTTGTACTGCAGTAAGACAATAGAGGGAGGGAATATAATCCTAAAATGAGAGGGACAGATTTGAGGGCAAACACAGGGCACAGGCACCTGTACGAGGGTAAAGAGGGAATCAGGGAAGGCTTCTCAGAGGAGGTAGCATTTGAGCTGGGCCTTGAAGGATGAACGAATTAGTTCACCAAGGATGGGATGGAAGGGGGTAAGAGTGATGCAGGCAGAGGGAACTGCAGGATCACAGGCCTAGACAGGGGATCCTGACCCCTTTGAGGAAGTGAGAGACCAGTGCAGTCATAGTGGGCTAAGTAACAAAGCTGAGAAGCCAGGGAAATCCCTGGTCATGCGGGGCCTGTGAATCATGCCAGTGTTTGGGCTTTTGTTTTTCCTGGGAGCAGTTGGTTTTAAGCAGGGAACAGCTGTAGTCAGAGTTGGGAAGATCCTGTGGTTGCTGCCTGAAGGGGATGAAAATGGAGGCTAGGAGCCCAGGGTGATGGGCCAGGGCTGGGGCCAGGGGATGGGAAGGAAGGAGTAATTGGGAGAGTCCTGGGGCTCTGGCCAGGGAATGGATGGTGGGCTGAAACAGAGAAAGGAGAGATGCTGAGATCACTTTGGAACACAGTGGGGCCAGGGCAGGAGATGCCCAAGGGGAGGTGCTCAAGAGGCCACGACAGGCTGGCGTTGGACAGAGAGGGTCTGTCTGGAACAAGTGTCTTGGATAAAGGAGGAAAACAGTAGAGTTCCATCCTCCCTCTGTGTTCAACCTCCAAATTACATGGGGCACAGGACCCAGGACCCAGTGGGACTCCATAAATGATGGGATGGTTGGATGCAAGGAAAGAAGAAAGGAGGAAAGAACTCTTCATTCATCCTGGTTAATTACAGAGCAGGCCAGGTGCGGTGCTCGCACCTGTCATCCTAGCACTTTGGGAGGCTGAGGCAGATGGATCACCTCAGGTCAGGAGTTCAAGACCAGCCTAGACAACATGGCGAAAACCCATCTCTACTAAAGATATAAAAATTAGCCAGGTGTAGTGGTGTATGCCTGTAATCCCAGCTAGCTGGGAGACTGAGGCAGGAGAATCACTTGAACCCGGGAGGCAGAGGTTGCAATGAGCCGAGATCGTGCCATTGCACTCCAGCCTGGGTGACAGAGCAAGACCTCGTCTCAATAATAATAATAATTACAAAACAGAACGAGCCTGGGTCATCCCAGCTACCTACTTTTCAGGAGAATGTACTTCCTTACCCAAGGGCAAAGGATGGGAGAACCAATTTGATTATGCATTTATTGAACACCTACTGAGTCCTCATCCCTGGGCTAGGCTGGAATGGACTCAGATGGAGCCTGAAGAGTCCCCCTCAGAGAACCTCACTAGAAAGAAGGGGGAATCAGCCGGTCGCGGCGGCTCACGCCTATAATCCCAACACTTTAGGAGGCTGAGGCGGGCAGATCACAAGGTCAGAAGATCGAGACCATCCTGGCTAACACAGTGAAACCCCATCTCCACTGAAAATATAATTAGTCGGGCATGGTGGCATGCACCTGTAGTTCCAGCTACTCAGGAGGCTGAGGCAGGAGAATTGCTTGAACCTGGGAGGCAGAGGTTGCAGTGAGACAAGATCACGCCACTGCACTCCAGCCTGGGCAACAGAGCGAGACTCTGTCTCAAAAAAAAAAAAAAAGAAAGAAAGAAGGGGGAATGGGCAGAGGGGCCGGTCCCTCTTTGAGTCTAGCCTTCTGCGCAGGGGTTTTCTTCTCCAACGGGGAGCGGTGGAGGCAGCTGAGGAAGTTTACCATGCTTGCTCTGCGGGACCTGGGCATGGGGAAGCGAGAAGGCGAGGAGCTGATCCAGGCGGAGGCCCGGTGTTTGGTGGAGGCATTCCAGGGGACAGAAGGTCAGCATGGCGGGGTCACCCCAGGGTCTCCAGCCGAGTGAAAGGGAAAACTCTCCTACTGTGGCTGGGGGTGGCCCCAACCCAGGTCCTGGAATGGGCGGGAGGGGAAGCCTTGGACTCTAGGGCTGGCCTGGGGGTTCTGTTCACCCCCGCCCTCTGTCTCTGTCCCACTGTCTCTCCAAGGCTGTCACGACATCTCTCTGTGTGTCCCTGGTGCTATCATCCCATTCTTCCTGGGTCTCCATCTCTCTCTCTGTCTCTTTTCTTTCTCTCTCCTTTCCTCTATTTTTCGGGCCCTAAGTCTATCTCTGTTTCTCTCTCCTTGTCCGTGTGATGGTCACTCAGTTTCTTTCTCCCTGTCTGTTTCTCTGTCCCTATCTGTCTGTCTCCTTCTTTGCCTGTTTAGCTCTCTCCCTGCACTGTCTGTCCATCTGTCTTTCCCGGCCTCCCTGTCTCTCTCTGGTTGGGTTCAGCCCCAACCTACTCCCCTCTGCCTGGCTCCATCACAGCCTACCTCCCTGCCCCCATTCCCCCCAGGACGCCCATTCGATCCCTCCCTGCTGCTGGCCCAGGCCACCTCCAACGTAGTCTGCTCCCTCCTCTTTGGCCTCCGCTTCTCCTATGAGGATAAGGAGTTCCAGGCCATGGTCCGGGCAGCTGGTGGTACCCTGCTGGGAGTCAGCTCCCGGGGGGGTCAGGTGAGTGGGTGGGACCCCTTTCCAACTACCTTCCCTGAAGGTTCCTGCCAAGGTCCCATGAGAACTAGCCGTCCTTCTCCCCACAGACCTATGAGATGTGTTCCTGGTTCCTGTGGCCCCTGCCAGGCCCCCACAAGCAGCTCCTCCACCACGTCAGCACCCTAGCTGCCTTCACAGTCCGGCAGGTGCAGCAGCACCAGGGGAACTTGGATGCTTCAGGTCCCGCACGTGACCTGGTCGATGCCTTCCTGTTGAAGATGGCACAGGTGCGGGAAGGGTGCAGGGACCCCCTCTCTGAATGGGTGTGGTAACCTGGTAGGTCCCCAGCCAGGTGTCCCTGGGGACCTCGACTGGGTCCCTCTCTCTTTCTCTCTCTGCATGTCTTTGTGAGTATGAGTGTCTGTGTGTGTGTGTGTCCCTTCTCTGCACATCTCTGTCTCTTTCAGGGAGTTGCTCTCGCTGCCTCTCCCGCCCCCAACCTGGCCATTTGTGCCGGGCTCTGTCTCTCCAGCATTTCTCCTCTTTCTCCCTCCCACCTCGGCCCTGGTGTTCAGGCCCCACACCCAGGGTCCCACACCATCAATCCCCAGGATCACTTCATCCCACCCCCTGCAGCCTCCCCAGGCTTTTATGTAAATTCACAATTCTATGTGAATTATGGTCATTTATTAGGAAGCCTTGCAATATCAATTTATGTTAGTAAAATCCACTTTATTAATTACATGAGAACAATATTTCTTTTTCTTTCTTTCTTTCTTTTTTTTTTTTTTTTTTTAAAGAGACAGGATCTCTTTCTGTGGCCCAGGCTGGAGTACAGTTGCAAAATCATAACTCACTGCAACCTTGAACTCTTGGGCTCAAGCAATCCTGCTGTCTCAGGCTCCTAGGTAGCTGGGACAACAGGTGCGCACCACCACACCTGGCTAAATTTTTTTTTTCTTTGTAGAGACGGACTCTCACTATGTTACCCAGGCTGGTCTTGAACTCCTGGGCTCATGTAATCCTCCTGCTGCCTTGAACTCCCAAAGTGCTGGGACTGTAGGCATAAGCCACCATGCCCTGTAAGAAAACTAGAATTAAGGGGACTCCTAAGGAAATAAATAGTTTTTAATTGTACGAACTTTGGAAGAATGGGGCCACATTCTTTAATTAAATGCAGCCTCCCTGTTTGTGGAGAAAGAAAAATTTTTCTTAACTCTATTGCCCCATTTCTTTTCTCTTTTATTGCATTTTTTTTTTTAGTTTTAACTATAGTAAAATATACATAACATTTACCATCTTAACCATTTTTAGGTATGCAGTATAGTAGTGTTAAGTACATTCACATTGTTATGCAATCAATCTCCAGAACTCTTCATGTTGTGAAGCTGAAACTCTATACCCATTAAACAACTGCCTGTTCCTCCCTTTCGCAACCCCTGGCAATCACCCTTTTTTTTTTTTTTTCTTTTTTTTTTTTTGAGACAGAATCTCACTCTGTCACCCAGACTGGAGTGCAGCGGTGCAGTCTTGGCTCACAACAACCTCTGCCTCCTGGGTTCAAGCGATTCTCCTGCTTCAGGCTCCCCAGTAGCTGGGACTACAGGCGTGCGCCACCACGCCTGGCTAATTTTTGTATTTTTAGTAGAGACGGGGTTTCACTATGTTGGCCAGGCTGATCTCAAACTCCTGGCCTCAAGTGACCAAGCTGCCTCAGCCTCCCAAAGTGCTGGAACTACAGGCGTGAGTCACTGTGCCTGGCACCTTTCTACTTTGTATAGATTTGACTATTCTAGGTGCCTCATATGAGTGGATTCATACAGTATTTGTCCTTTTGTGACTGACTCATTGCATTTAGCATAATGTCCTTAAGGTTCATCCATGTTATAGCTTGTGACAGGATTTCGTTCCTTTTTAAGCCTGAGTAATACTCAACTGTGTGTATATACCACATTCTCTGTATCCATTCATTCACTGATGGACACAGGTTGCCTCCAGTTCTTGGCAATTGTGAATAATACTGCTATTAACATGAGTGTATCTCTTCAAGTCCCTGCTTTCAATTCTTTTTTTTTTTTTTTCTTTTTTGAGATGGAGTCTTGCTCTGTTGTCCAGGCTACAGTGCAGTGACACGATCTCAGCTCACTGCAACCTCCACCTCCAGGGTTCAAGTGATTCTCCTGCCTCAGTCTCCCAAGTAGCTGGGACTACGGGTGCCCGCCACCACACCCAGCTAATTTTGTTTTTGTATTTTCAGTAGAGACAGGGTTTCACCATATTGGCCAGGCTGGTCTCGAACTCCTGACCTCAGGTGATCCACCTGCCTAGGCCTCCCAAAGTGCTGGGATTTCAGGCGTGAGCCACCGTGCCCAGCCTCTGCTTTCAATTCTTTTGGTTATATCCCTAGAAGTCAAATTGCTGGATTATATGGTAATTCTATAATTCTAATTTTTGTTTGTTTGTTTTCTGAGATAGGGTCTCATTCTGTTGCCCGGGCTCTAGTCCAGTGGTTCAATCATAGCTCATTGCAGCCGTGATCTCCTGAATTCAGGCAATCCTCTGCCTCAGCCTCCTGAGTAGCTGGAATTACAGGTGTGCCTCACCACACCTGGCTGATTTTTTTTATTTTTAGGAGAGATGAGGTCTCTTTATGTTCCCCAGGCTGATCTGAAACTCCTGAGCTCCAGCAAACTACCTGCCTCAGCCTCCCGGAGTGCCAGGATTACAGATGTGAGCCACCACTCCCATCCGTATTTTTGATTTTTTCAGGAACTGCTGTACCATTTTCCACAGGGCTGCATCATTTCACATTCCCACCAATGGTGTACATGGGTTTCAAAGTCTTCACATCTTCATCCATGCTTATAACTTTCTGTGTTTTTGTTAGTAGTATTCTCTTTCATTTTAAAAAATATTTCAACCAGAGAGAACTAACATCAAGAGTCTACTTCTCGGCCAGGTACAGTATCTCACACCTGTAATCCCAGCACTTTGGGAGGCAGAGGCAGGTGGATCACCTGAGGTCAGGAGTTTAAAACCAGCCTGGCCAACATAGAGAAACCCCGTCTCCACTGAACATACAAAAATTAGCCGGGCGTGATGGCACACACCTGTAATCCCAGCTACTCGGGAGGCTGAGGTGGGAGAATTGCTTGAACCTAGGAGGCAGAGGTTGCAGTGAGCCAGGATCGTGCCACTGCACTCAGCCTGGGCGAAAAAGCAAGACTCTGTCTCAAAAAAAAAAAGAGTCGACTTCCCAACCTTCCCCAAAATTTATCTAAACCCCGTGACAAAACTCGTAGTGCTGACCCCAGGCTGGGCTGTTCTGGACATTTACTTCCCAAAGGCTGTGTTCTCTCAGCCCCTCTGCCTGGTTTCTTTCAGGAGGAACAAAACCCAGACACAGAATTCACCAACAAGAACATGCTGATGACAGTCATTTATTTGCTGTTCGCTGGGACGATGACGGTCAGCGCCACGGTTGGCTATACCCTCCTGCTCCTGATGAAATACCCTCATGTCCAAAGTAAGAGCCTTTTCCACCTTGGGAACAGAAGTGAGGGTTCTTGGCTGAGCAAGGTGGCTCACGCCTATAATCCCAGAGCTTTGGGAGGCTGAGGCGGGCTGATCACTTGAGAACAGGAATTTAAGAGCAGCCTGGGTAACATAGTGAAACCCCACCTCTACTAAAAATACAGGTGGTGGCATGCACCTGTAATCCCAGCTACTCGGGCGGCTGAGGAATGAGAATTGCTTGAGCCCAGGAGGTAGAAGTTGCAGTGAACTGACATCACACCACTGCACTCCAGCCTGGGTGACAGAGGGAGACACTGTCTCAAAAAACAAAAAGTGAGAGTTTTAGAGGGAAGAGTGGGCAGGCCGAGCAGACAGGCTGAGCTAGATCTTTGAGGCATCAATGGGCATGGCGTTTGGGATGTCTGGGAGCCAGAGGAGGTTCAGGAGTTGCTGACTGCAGTATGAGGCATAGTGAAAGACAAGGCAGGTGTCTGCGGGCCTCGCCGCCTTAGTGATACATTAGGTGCCTTATGCTGAGCCATGGGGAGCAATGGAATGACTTTAAGCAGGGAAGGGCAGGGTCAAATTGGTTTTTCATTTTTATTTTTTATTTTTTTATAGGGGATAGAGTCTCCCTGTGTCGCCCAGGCTGGAATGCAGTAGCGTGATCTCGGCTCACTGCAACCTCCAGCCTCCCGGGTTCAAGCAATTCTCCTGCCTTAGCCTGCCGAGTAGCTAGGATTACAAGCGTGCACCACCACACCCAGCTAACTTTTGTACGTTTAGGAGAGACAGGGTATCCCCATGTTGGCCAGGCCGGTCCCGAACTCCTGACCTCAAGTGATCTGCCCATCTCGGCCTCCCAAAGTTCTGGGATTACAGGCGTGAGCCAAGGCACCCGGCCCAACTCCAGCATTGTAGGGTTAGGCAGCTGCTGTGGGTCATGGGGATGGGCTCTGACCTGGAATATGGGAGTTGAGGTCCTGGCAGTGTTGCAGGAGTGGAACCAGCTGTGACTTCTGGCAATGACTTGGGTTCTCTGAGTCTCAGTTTCCTCATCTAGGAAATGGGGATAGATAACAATACCTATCTCACAAGGGTGCTATGGGAATTAAGAAAGTATAGATGAGCCAGGCATGGTGGCTTATGCCTGTAATCCCAGCACTTTGGGAGGCTGAGGTGGGAGGATCACTTGAGGCTAGGAGTTCAAGATCAGCCTGGGCAACATAGTGAGGCCCTGTCTCTACCAAAAATAGAAAAATTAGGTGGGCGTGGTGGTGCGTGCCTGTGGTCATAGCTACTCAGGAGACTGAGGTGAAAGGATCACTTGAGCCCATTAGGTGAGGTGAAGGCTATTACAGTGAGCCATCATTGCACTGCTGCACCAGCCTGGGCAACAGAGTAAGACCCTGTCTCAAAAAAAAAAAGAGAAGGCTGGGTATGGTGGCTCACGTCTGTAATCCCGGCACTTTGGGAGGCCAAAGCGGACGGATCACCTGAGGTCAGGGGTTTGAGACCAGCCTGGCCAACATGGCAAAACTCTGTCTCTACTAAAAATACAAAAATGAACCGGGCATGATGGCAGGCGTCTGTACTCCCAGCTACTCGGGAGGCTGAGGTAGGAGAATCTCTTGAACCCAGGAGGTGGAGTTGCAGTGAGCCGGAATCGTGCCACTGCACTCCAGACTGGGTGATAGAGCGTGTAATCCCAGCTACCCAGGAGGCTGAGGCAGGAGAATCGCTTGAATCCGGGAGGCAGAGGTGGTGAGCCGAGATCGCGCCATTGCACTCTAGCCTAGGCAACAGAGCAAAACTCGGTCTCAAAAAATAAATAAAATAAAATAAGAGAGAGAGAGAAGATAGATGGAACACCCAACACACAAGATGTGTGGTCTTTGGGCTCAGTGAGGGCTGGGGGACTACTCCTCCCCACCTGTCAGCCTCACCCCAAACTACAGCTATGCAAGCAGATGGGCTTCTGAGAGGAGGATCCCTGGGCCCTACCTGCTGTCTGACTCCCGCCCTCCTCTTGCTTGCAGAGCGGGTACGTGAGGAGCTGACTCGGGAGCTGGGGTCTGGCCAGGCACCAAGCCTAGGGGACCGTACCCGCCTCCCTTACACCGACGCGGTTCTGCATGAAGCGCAGCGGCTGCTGGCGCTGGTGCCCATGGGAATCCCCCGCACCCTCATGCGGACCACCCGCTTCCGAGGCTACACCCTGCCCCAGGTGGGTATGCGTGCAGCCGCGGCCCATGGCTCTCTGCCTCGGGGCCTGAGCCCGGGTTGGTTGCTATCAGTGTCTCCCTGACTTTCTCTGATCTTAGTCAGTCTCTCTCTCTCTCTCTCTCTCTCTCTCTGTCTTCCTTCTCTACTCCCCACTGCATCTTTCTCCTGCTTCTTTCTCTGACACTCGCTCCCTTTCTGCATCTTTTAACTCTTTCTGTTTCTTTTTGGTTTATGTTTTCTTGCCCTTTGACTCTATCTCTGGGCCCCATCTGCCCCAGAGATCTCCTAATTCTATCTCCTTCCAAAGTGGTCGGGACAGTCGAATGAGGTAACATACAGAGAAGCAGCTTGAAAACTGAGGAGCAAGTCCAGGACTAAGGGAAGCCGTCTTGACCCTTAGCCCCTGCTGCAGACACATTCTCTCCTCTGTGTCTCTCCCTCAATCTCAGTGCCCTTCACTGGAGAGCAGCTCTGATGCAGAACCAAAAGGGGGCGATGTTTCCCCAGAAACCCCAGCGGTTTAGTGCAAGCAGCTCCCTCCACCTTCACTGCAGAATCAAATCTGTGGCTGTTAGGATCCAGTGCTGCTTTGCTGCTATTTTCTTTTTCTTCTTCCTTTTTTTTTCTGAGATGGAGTCTCGCTCTGCTGCCCAGGCTGGAGTGCAGTGGCACGATCTCGGCTCACTGCAACCTCCGTCTCCGGGGTTCAAGCGATTCTCTTGCCTCAGCCTCCTGAGTAGCTGCGATTACAGGTGCGCACCACTACACCCAGCTAATTTTTGTATTTTTAGTAGAGACGGGGTTTCACTATGTTGGTCAGGCTGGTCTCAAACTCCTGACCTCATGATCCGCCCGCCTCGGCCTCCCAAAGTGCTGGGATTACAAGTATGAGCCACCGCGCCTGGCCTACCCCCTCCTGTTTTGTAAATGGGGCCTTGGGCAAATCACTTCTCCCTCTGAACCTCAATATATCCCTCCTCTAAATTAGAAACAATGATAGTATCAACTTGGAGCTGTAAGATAATGCTTGTAAAACAAACACCAGCTCAGCTCTTGGGAGCCAGTCCTGTGTACCAGGCAGCAACACTTGAATGATGATAATGACAGGTATCCAGGTTTGAGGACCTGCTCTGCACCAGGGGTTATTCTGAGTGCTTTCCATATCTATTATCTGATTTAATCTTTAAAGCAACCCTATACTATTATCACGCCCATCTTACAGATAAGGAAACTGAGAGCTTGAAAAGTTTCTAGAAGATTTGCCAAGGTCACCCAGCCCGCATATAGTATTCTTTGCCCCTCTCTCTTTCTTTTCTTTTTTTTTTTTTTTTTTTTTTGAGACAGAGTCTCGCTCTGTCGCCCAGGTTGGAGTGCAGTGACGCGATCTTGGCTCACTGCAAGCTCCACCTCCCGGGTTCACGCCATTCTCCTGCCTCAGCCTCCCGAGTAGCTGGGACTACAGGTGCCCGTCACCAGGCCTGGCTAATATTTTTTTGTATTTTTAGTAGAGACGGGGTTTCACCGTGTCAGCCAGGATGGTCTCAATCTCCTGACCTCGTGATCTGCCCGCCTTGGCCTCCCAAAGTGCTGGGATTACAGGCTTGAGCCACCACACCCGGCTTTCTTTTCTTTTCTTTTCTTTCGTTCCTTCCTTCCCTCTTTCTTTCCTTTTCTTTCTTTCCCTCTTTCTTCCTCCCTTCCTTCCTTCCTTCCTTCCTCCCTTCCTCCCTTCCTCCCTTCCTCTCTTTCTCTCTTCCTCTCTTTCTTTCTTTTTTATTTTATTTTTTCTTTTTTGAGACGGAGTCTCGCGCTGTGTCACCCAGGCTGGAGTGCAGTGGCGCGATCTCGACTCACTGCAAGCTCCGCCTCCCAGGTTCACGCCATTCTCCTGCCTCAGCCTCCGAGTAGCTGGGACTACAGGCGCCCGCCACCACGCCCGGCTAGTTTTTTGTATTTTTAGTAGAGACGGGGTTTCACCATGTTAGCCAGGATGGTCTCGATCTCCTGACCTCGTGATCCACCCGCCTCGGCCTCCCAAAGTGCTGGGATTACAGGCTTGAGCCACCGCGCCCGGCCTCTCTTTCTTTCTTGACAGGGTCTCTCTCTGCCTCCCAGGCTGGGGTGCAGTGGTACAAGCATAGCTCACAGCAGCCTTGAACTCCTGGGCTCAAGTGATCCTCTCACCTCAGCCTCCTGAGCAGCTGGGACTATGGGCTCACGCCACCATGCCTGGCTAATTTTTTTATTTTTCGGAGAGACAAGGTCTTGTTATATTGCCCAAGCTGGTCTCAAACTCCTGGGCTCAAATGCTTTTCTCACCTCAGCCTCCCACGTGGCTGGGATTACAGGCATGAGCTGCTGCATGCCACTCAACACTCAACAAATGTTGATGCCGTTATGTTTGTAAACTCGTGTCTCTGGCACCCCAGACTTGTGCTCCATACTCGAGGACCCAATAGACTGGAGTGGGAAGGGATTTGTAGCTTGATTATTATTTCCCCTCAGGGCACGGAGGTCTTTCCCCTCCTTGGCTCCATCCTGCATGACCCCAGCATCTTCAAGCACCCAGAAGAGTTCAACCCAGACCGTTTCCTGGATGCAGATGGACGGTTCAGGAAGCATGAGGCGTTCCTGCCCTTCTCCTTAGGTATCTGTTGCAGCCTTGGGTATCACGAGCAGGTGCTGGCAAACTCCAGGCATCTGTGCCAGCTGTGGGCACCCTTCTGCACCCTGGGCTTACTGTTGGCCCCCCTGTTCTCCCCGTGGGCCTAGGTGTGAGGAGGACTGGCTCAGCCCTTTCTCTCTCTCTCCTCACAAGGGAAGCGTGTCTGCCTTGGAGAGGGCCTGGCAAAAGCAGAGCTCTTCCTCTTCTTCACCACCATCCTGCAAGCCTTCTCCCTGGAGAGCTCGTGCCCACTGGACTCCCTGAGCCTCAAGCCCACCATCAGTGGCCTTTTCAACATCCCCCCAGCCTTCCAACTGCAAGTCCGTCCCACTGACCTTCATTCCACCACGCAGACCACATGAAGGAAGGCAACTTGGAGGTGGTGGGTGCCCGGGACGGTGCCTCCAGCCTCAACAGTGGGTATGGACAGGGTTAATGTCTCCAAAGTGTACACTGCAGGCAGCCACATTACACACCTGCAGCTGTTTTCCGGAGACTGTCCCACGGCCCACACACTCACTTACTTGACTCATGCTGCTGTTAAGATGCACAACCACACACTCATACACACCTACAAGAGCCACAGAGCAACTGCTGCGTTAGCTTTCCACAGACATAAATATAGTCCATCTGCAATCACGAGCACATAGCCAGGTAACCCACCAACTCCCCTGGATCTTCACCCGAAATGTGGGAGTCTGCCTGTCACCTTTATAAGCCACAGAAACAGCCACACATATTCACAGCTCACACGCCCTCTCCATTCATCAAACTTCTCAGTGTCCCTGTCTCTGGTGCCTGGCACAGGGAACAGCATGCCCCCTCCTGAGTCATGCCACAGAGAGACCGTCACTGTCTATGGCCCTGACACATGCTCCCTCTCGTGGCTGCACCACTCTCCCAGCCTGTGACCACCGATGTCCACATACCCCCAACCACTGGTCCACATAGCTACCCACATATGACATCGTCCTGGCTTCCCGGAGTATCTTCCCACTTAGACACACCGCTCCCACGGAGGCACAGTCCCCAGCCACCTTCGCAAGTGCAGCCCTCAGTCACCCCTTTTTAAGCACCCTGATTCTCCCAAATGCAGAGACATCTGGGTCTGCAATTATGCACGGAGACCTTGGACACACGAGGACCCTCAGACCAGAGGGACACCTGCCCCACCCCAACACGTGCTTATGTAACCAAGCGACTCCTGCTACCCCTCCACACACACGTACATCCTCACTGATCTACAGCCCCTATTCGGCATCAGAGTCCCCACTAGACCCAGTGGAAGGGGTTAGAGACCAAGTAGGGGCCAGGTTCCAATTCACCCTGTCAGGGATTGAGCCAGATCTGACGTCCTTGTGATTTAAGGGTCCGGTTTGGGAATTAAAGTTTGTTCCTGGCCTTTAGCCTACTGCGTGTGTGACCCGTGTCAGTCACTGTGAGTAAGGGGTGGGAACAGGGCAGTCCACCCCTCCCCTGAGGCTGGGCGGGAGCTGAAAAACATGGCCACCGCCCACCCTGGCTGTTGACATCAGGACCAGATGTGGAGCTGGGAGGAGGGGCAGGGCTGGGGCCGCCCTGGGCCTCACTTTCAAAAAGGGCCAAGGTGTCCGGCGGTGAGAAGTGGGGAAGGAGAGGGTAACCCAAGCTGGACTGCGGACCTTGGGGGCTTCCTCAGTCAGGGAAAGCCTGAAGCCAACTAGATCCAGACCCTAGAGAGTCTTCAAACTTGAAAGCACAAGAACTCTTCAAACTTGAGCACAGGAACTAGCTTGCAACACAGACCCTAAACCCACTCGCACTTCTTCCACCCTTTTTCTCTTGCCTTCTCTTCACAAGGAAACCAGACGCACTTCTAAATTTCTTTTTTTTTTTTTTTTTGAGACGGAGTCTCACTCTGTCACCCAGGCTGGAGTACGGCAGTGTGATCTTGGCTCACTGCAACCTCCGCCTCCCGGGTTTAAGCGATTCTCCTGCCTCAGCCTCCCAAGTAGCTGTGATTACAGGTATGTGCCACCACGCCCAGCTAATTTTTGTATTTTTGGTAGAGACGGGGGTTCACCATGTTGCCCAGGCTGGTCTCGAACTCCTGACTTCAGGTGATCTGCCGGCCTTGGCCTCCCAAAGTGCTGGGGTTACAGGCATGAGCTGCTGCTAGATGAATTTCTTATCTAGCAAAGAAGTTTGCAAACATACACAAAAGTAGAATGATACAGTGAGCCCTCAGGTGCGCAGCACCCAGCCTCATTTCAATAGTCATCAACTTTCTGCAACTTTTACTTCATCTATATCCTTTTCTGCCTCTTCTTTTTTTGAGATGGGGTTTTGCTTTGTTGTCTAAGCTGGGGTGCAGTAGCATGATCATAGTTCACTGTGGCCTTGGCCTTGGACTCCTAGACTCAAGTGATCCTCCCGCCTCGGCCTCCAAGCAGCTGGGACTACAGATGTATGCCATCACACCTGGCTAAATTTTTTATTTTTATTTTTTATAGAGAAGGTCTCACTATATAGCCCACACTGGTCTCAAATTCCAGGCCTCAAGAGTTTCCATCCCAGCCTCCCAAAGTGCTGGGATTACAGGTGTGAGTCACTGTACCCTGTCCTGATATTTTTATTTTACCTATTGCTTTTTATTTATTTATTTATCTTTTTTTTTTTTTTTTTTTTGAGACAGAGTCTCACTCCGTTTCCCAGGCTGGAGTGCAGTGGCACCATCTCAGCTCACTGTAACCTCCGCCTCTTATGTTCAAGCAGTTCTCCTGCCTCAACCTCCTGAGTAGCTGAAATTACAGGCGCCTGCCACCAAGCCTGGCTAATTTTTGTATTTTTAGTAGAGACGGGGTTTCGCCATGTTGGCCAGGCTGGTCTTGAACTCCTGACCTCAGGTGATCTGCCTGCCTTGGCCTCCCAAATTGCTGGATTACAGGTGTGAGCCCACGGCTGCCTGGCTACCATGTGTTGCTTTTTAAAGATTTTTTTTTTTTTTTTTTTTTTGAGACGGAGTCTTGCTCTGTCGCCCAGGCCTGGATGCAGTGGCCGGATCTCAGCTCACTGCAAGCTCCACCTCGCCCCGTTTACACCATTCTCCTGCCTCAGCTCCCGAGTAGCTGGGACTACAGGCGCCGCCACGCTCGCCCGGCTAAGGTTTTTGTATTTTTTCAGTAAGAGACGGGGTTTCACCGTGTCAGCCAGGATGGTCTCGATCTCCTGACCTCGTGATCCGCCCGTCTCGGCCTCCCAGAGTGCTGGGATTACAGACTTGAGCCACCGCGCCCGGCCTTTAAAGATTATTTTAAGGCAAATTACAGAAAGTAATTTAATACACGTTTCTAAGAGTTAAGGACATTTTTGCCCTTGACATTTTATGAAGACATTTTTCAAACATGCAGCAAAGTTGAGGGAATTGTACAAGGAACACCTTGTGCACCTCCAGGGTTCTCCCACTAGCACTTCGCTACACTGCTTTCTAACATTTCTACCCACGTGGCCACCAGCTCAGGATTTATTTATTTATTTATTTTGAGACAGAGTTTTGCTCTTGTTGCCCAGGCTGGAGTGCAATGGCGCAATCTCGGCTCACTGCAACCTCCACCTCCCGGGTTCAAGCAATTCTCCAGCCTCAGCCTCCCGAATAGCTAGGATTACAGGCATGCGCCACCATGCCTGGCTAATTGTTGTGTTTTTGGTAGAGATGGGATTTCTCCATGTTGGTCAGGCTGGCCTCAAACTCCTGACCTCAGACCTCAGGTGATCCACCTGCCTCGGCCTCCCAAAGTGCTGGGACTACAGGTGTGAGCCACTGTGCCTGGCTGATTTTTTTTTTTTTTTTGACAGAGTCTCACTCTGTCACCCAACCTGGAGCGCAGTGGCATGATCTTGGCTCACTGCAGCCTCCACCTCCCGAGTTCAAGCGATTCTCCTGCCTCAGCCTCCTGAGTAGCTGGGATTACCGTCAAGCGCCTGGTTAATTTTTGTTTTTTTAGTGTAGATGGGGTTTCGCCATGTTGGCCAGGCATGAGTCACTGTGCCCAGACCAGTTCAGGATTTTTTAGGCATTTCTGACGAAATTGCACCTATCAGTTCATCAAAAAACTTAAGCAATGCATATATCATTAGCTAAAGTTTAAAAAAAAAAAATTCCAAGATATTAACACTTTATTGGCTTAAGTTCTACAGAGGTAGCACAAAACAGAATAATAGAGAACTGAAAGATGAGACTGGAATCAGATCCTAACTTTGCCACCTCCTAGCTGGCCACACCTTGGCTGAGGCTTTACCATCTTAAAGCCTTAAAAAATTGATAAGATGTGAGAAATGTGGGCCAGGCACAGTGGCTCACACCTCTAACCCTAGCATGTTGAGGGGCCGAGGCAGGAGGATTGCTTGAGTCCAGGGGTTCAAGATCAGCCTGGGCAAAAGGGCAAGACTCTGATTCAAGGGAAAAAAAAAAAATCCCAAAAGAAATGTGAAAAATTTTAGAACTTCATAGGAAATAAATATGTGCTAAGTTCTTCTTGGATTTAATATTACTATTTTTTTATATGTCAGTGCACTTTGAAAAGGAATGAAGTTTAAGGTTTTCTTCTTTTAAAATTAAGGCAATGGGGCCAGGTGTGGTGGCTTATGCCTATAATCCCAGCACTTTGGGAGGCTGAGGCGGGCAGATCACTTAAGGTCAGGAGTTCGAGACCAGCCTGGACAACATGGTAAAACCCGGTCCCTACTAAAAATACAAAAATTAGCCAGATGTGACGGCAGGCACCTGTAATCCCAGCTACTCGGGAGGCTAAGGCAGGAGAATCGCTTGAACCCGGGAGGTGGAAGTTGCGGTGAGCGGAGATCGTGCCACTGCACCCCAGTCTGGGCAACGAGAGCGAAACTCTGTCTCAAAAAATCAAACAAAAAATATATTCACAATGTTGTATAACCATCACCACTATTTATGCCCAAAATGTTTCCATTGTTTCCAACAAAAACTACCCATTAAATAATAACTCTGGCCGAGCGTGGTGGCTCACACCTGTAATCTCAGCACTTTGGGAGTCCAAGGCACGTGGATCTCTTAAGCCCAAGAGTTCAAGACCAGTCTGGGTAACATAGGGAAACCCTCTCTCTACAAAAAGTGAGCCCGGTGTGGTGGTGCACACTTGTAGTCCCAGTTACTCAGGAGGCTGAGGTGAGAGGATCACCTGAGCCTGGGAGGACGAGGCTGCAGTGAGCTATGATCACTCCACTGCACTCCAGCCTGGGTGACAGAGGGAGCCCATCTTAAACAACAACAACAAACACAATAACTCCCTGTTAAAGTTTTTTTTTTTTTTTTGAGACGGAGTCTCGCTCTGTCGCCCAGGCTGGGAGTGCAGTGGCCGCCGAATCTCAGCTCACTGCAAGC